GAGCACCAGTTCTAACCTGACCTCTTCAGAGGGCAAATACAAGTTAAAATACTGATCTCTAGCAGGTACGTTGCAAAACACAAGTTTTGCCATCAGCTGTCACTGGGCTAAGAGTCTTCCAAATATCCACAATTATTGATCCAGAACAAACACCCGAAGGTTCTTTGCCAAAACAAACCGTGCAGTAATTGGCTAATCACGACATCAGTTTTAATGACACGAACAACGAGCCTGCTGTTCAGAGGTCTATTGTGTACTCACTTCTCAAGGGAAACCAGCTCATTAAGTGCTAAATCACCCATCCAACTACCCCTTTTTACCTTTACTGGTAAGGGAAATGGTGAGAGGAGAATCTGAGCCTTCACCTGATTCAAAGTGCTCCAGCTGGCTGCATTCCCATCTTCTTGTTAGAGAGAAAATTGTTCCCTATTACTGTACATTCTTCAAATGAACTTGAGTTTCTACTGTTTGACACTGTTTACAATCCCTCTTTATAATATGGACTGAAAGTTTTTCTTGAGCAAATACCTTTGTATTTGTAAAGCAGCAAATGCACTAGAAAAAAAACAGTGATTAGATTCACCAGATATTAGAGAATTATAAAACTCATGATTTTTCCAGCTGCAAAATATGCAAGGGGAAGCACAGTAGGTCAGTCAACACATCAGCCCCTGCGTGGGGGAGACAAACATCAAAACATTGTTTCCGTGTTGGCAGAACACTGGACTTTTCAGGTTACACTTTCCAGTGAGATGCCCCAGATGCACAACTTAAGCTTCCTTAAGCTTTTACCCACTGAGGGTACAAATAGCAAGGAATTCTAAAGGGATCTTTAGTGATGGGTGAAGGATTTAATTAAAAAGATGAAAGCAACCCCTTTCCAGTGTACAGGCAGTTTTATTTGCTGCTGATGGAATTATCTGCCTGCACAAAACCACAGTGTTAATACCTGACATATTAGCCAGATTTGCAAAGAAGAAAGCAAATACAAAATAAATAAACAACTATGCAGAATTTGAGAAGTTGCC